CTGGAACCTCCCGAGTCGGCGACACTATGAAACCCGGCGTAAAAACCACTCGGCCACGGAGGTCGTCAAGAAAAAACGTCAATTCACCGTTTAACGTTGAATTCAAACCATCCACCGAACAGTTATAATTTTTTTTTGTTGAACTATTTATTTCTATATGAATATACTTATATATGTACATTAAACATATGTATTCTATTCGTTACCCTAGTACCCATTACACAAACCTTGCAGTGCTTACTTTGGTGCTAGGCAACATGGAACTATTATTAGTATTTTTGCACAAAAATGTTCACATGCGCCTGGATGGAACTCGTGCTCATGTAGCAATGCCATTCTGTAAAATGTATACGCGCGGATCCGAATCGGTTCCGCGCGCTTCGCATATAGATTCGCGCGGCTCCACATCGAATCCGAGCATGAAAATATTACAGAATAGCACTGCTAGTCTCAAGTGGTCCAAAATATCGTGTCATTAGGCGGTGTGTACATTGCATTCTGTGCTATCTATTTTGTGATCAAACGAACTAATAGAATGAACATTGATCACAATTTGTGTAATTTTATTAGATTCTGCGTATAATAGCATTATTAAAAATGATTTGCACTTGACTGATTCTATTCCAATTCAATTGGAAATCCATTAATATGAATATTTTGCTTTAGAATCGCCTATATATGTACCTATGCCATAGATTTGCGAACCGATGGCGTAGCCTTACGGCATTCAAAGGTGCTTGCAACAGCCTAGACTGAATAAACGATATTGAATTTTATGTATGTTACAAGACTAGTATAATAAATATTGTCCCATACTAAAACTAGGATTTTTCATGTCAAAAGATTACTATAAAAACGTAAAAAGCTTTCCCAAGCTTCGTGTTAATCGTTCGGTTTTCCCAAGGCGCCAATATTTAACCGCAAGGCTCATTTCAAACAATCATTAACATATTATTATTATATTCCAACATATTTGTCACGAGCTCCTTTTCATATTTACGCATTCGTGTGACTCGCGGGAGTACGCCAAACTTTGCGTGGAATTTCGAATCATTTAAGCTTTTCTGCTTGTTATGTGATTCACTGGGGAATGACATTCGTAAGCAAATAGTAAAGTGATATTAGGCACGCATCAACGACCTACGCACGCACAGAAAGTGTTTAAAAGAGAATTGTAGTATATTTGGTAAATGGAATATTTTAAATTATGTGGAAATTTAGCTATGAAGAGAACAGTATGATTCTGTACCGTACTTCAAAACGGAGGAGTATTTTTTTTTGTATTTTATACAGCGATGGTTGTTACCAAGCAAAAACTTTTTAAAACATCTCCTTTTTTAATATGGAGACACTCGATTTTAATTGTCTGTCGAAAAAGTGCCACAAGAAATACAAAATTATTAAATATAAACTGTTTAAGTACACAGAAAGACGGATGTACAGCAAAGTCTCGGAGAGAGAAGTTTTTGCATTATTTTCTATTATATTTGTTAAATTTCAGCGTGAGATTACACGAATTTTGCTTTTTTCCTGTAAAAAAACTTTATACAATATCGCAAAAAATAAGTTAACCCTATTACTCCAAGTAATACGAAAAGACTTCTCCACGTCTGAAATTCGAGTAGGTACTGTAAAAAAAGAAAGAGGAATTCTAGCCAAATTGGTTCTGTCCTGAAACCAGATTGATGAATTAAATGAAAAAAAACTCAGAATATTGTAAATATTAGATGGCGTAAATATTTAACATCACCCAAATCCTGTACATTTAAAAGAAATATTCATTATATAAAACTAGTTTTTACGGGTTAATGCACGAAACTTTATTTATTTATTGACGTTTCGCAGCCTTTTCAGGTCTGCATCGTCAGAATAATGATTTTTTATTTAAAATTGTCGAGCTACCTTCGAAAGTCTTTCGAAAGGCTGCGAAACGTCAATAAATAAATAAAGTTTCGTGCATTAACCCGTAAAAACTAGTTTTATTTAATGAGTGATGTGCGTGAAAACCTAAGAAACAAATAAATAATATTCATTATTATAAAACATTTCAGCATCCACCTAGCCAATACTCCCCAATCGTTCGAATGAAGCAAAAAAATGACAATGCAGATTGAAACATCTGTTGTCTGCTATTGTGGAGTCTTTGTAACGCGTTTTCATGCAAATATAGACCGTAGTATACCAGAGGAAGGTTAACAGTCGTTTGCATTTTATGAACAGATTATTCACGATGAAAATTACCATCTTCCGCTGACGTGCAGTGGACTGATTGGTATGCTGTTGAGAACTGTACCCCTACCATAGGGTCAAGGTGTCGAAACTCGATTAATGTTCAGCACTCTTAGCACGAGCCTATATCAAATTCAAATAGTTGAATTCGATCTCGATACGCTTTTTTTTGAGTGTGTATGCTGCTGGCCGTGGATGACCTTTACAGCGTCAACGGGTTTGGGGACGGCGAGATCCTAAGAGGACCTCAAGCCGAGAATTGGCGAATGCCTCTAGAGGTATTCCAGGGGGCCATTCGCCTAACAGAAATACTTTGGAAAACGCTAACGCTTTCGATTTTATTTTGTTATTTCTGATCGCCGAAGGTTTACGAATACCTCACGCTCATTTTTTTAAATATTGTTATTACCAATGCAAAAGGAAAAAAAAGAGCGCGAGGCATTTGAAAACCTCAGGCGGCTAGAAAGAACAAAGTAAAATTGTAAGCGTTAGCGTTTTCAAAAGCATTTCCGTTAGGCGGATGCCCCTCAGGCGGATGGCATCTCCCCGCGGGGGGAGTCTCCTTTCCGTCTGGAGCCTCTAGACCAATCGAACCTGACGGGGTCGGCTCAACTAGAAGGCGTCTCTGAGACTTGGACCTCGGCTCTAGTTAGCCGTTTTTGTTGTGGGTGACGGAGAAAAACGCCCAGGTATGTACCTGTACCTGGTATAACGTGTCGTGTGTAGACCGGGTCTTCGCACTCTTATCCTATGGGTGCGGTGTCTGCCTAATACTAAGGTAGTGTGCACGTTTGCTAGCTTTGTAGTTTTGGTATTTGTGGCCTGTGTGGGAGGAATCGGAGGCGCGTTGGCGCGTGTTATTTCGTCGTCTGGGTACTCTAAGACGTGCCTAGGCCGACGGAATCGGAGGGATCTCGATATGCGTTAAATGTGAAGATGTTTTATATGGAAGATTTTAATTCTCGTTACGTCCGTTGTGGCCCTGTTTAAATCCATATAAAAGTTCTTGACATTTGACGTGTATCGAGATCGAATTCAATTATCCAATTCCACATTCGTTCGTGCTGGGATGGGTCGTAGTATTTGATCATTGAAAAAAACGGTAGAAGAAAACTTCAAACAAGGATCAAACAGTTCTTTATTAAATAAGTTATACATATTAAAATTGAAAATACAGTTAAGAAATGTGTACCTTTTTGTTGTTATTTTGGACATTTTGCTTATGTTTCCATTTAAATTTTGACTATTAGTATGACAACTTTATGGCTTATCAAATTTTCAATTAACTTAAAATCGACTTTGACATGCATGTAACAATAGACTATTTCAAATTACATTTATAAATTGTAATTTCAATGTAACCAAAATAATAGTACCTGTTTCATAGGTCCACATCTATTTGTATACCTCTAAATGTAATGGAAATGTAGTGACTCTAACAAAAAAATTATATACCTTACATGTAAACACAAATCTACGTTTCACAATAAAATTCTGATTCTGATTTGTTCTACATGTCATCTAAAATTTTAAAGTTTGACAAAAAAAATAGCTTACTAGTTTATTCGTTTATGTTTTAGTAGCAGTTTTTTGAAAGGCGGTTTCAGACTAGCGTTTTAGACGCGCGTATAAACTCGATATTGGCAACGCATGTATGCGCGTAAAGGCGCAACTTTTTCCACCGCGCAACTGGTACGACCGTTGATGCGCTCGTAAGCTCGTATAAGCACGAGCCGCAAGAGACACTACTACCGGTGCGAGTTGATGCCGCAATTACATTTGGTCGTTAGCTCGAGAGACATTACTCGAAATCGGGCACCTGAAGCAATATTTTCACTGGAATACGGGCTGGAAGACATACCGTCGTATACCGGGTAAACAAAAGGAAACACCCAAATATGGGTACGTACTCGACTCAGTTAATTTCCACTTAGTCGTTTACCCGAATTCCATTGGCACTCGCATTCGGGCTAACGCCCCAGCGTAATCGCGTCACAATACACTAAAATTTCCAATTGTATGCCCAAACGACCGTTTACGTGCAAAAAAACGCTAGTCTGAGAAACCACTTTAAATACGACCGATAGTATTGGATCTGGTGTAGTGACATAGGGACAAGTTCCATCAAATCTAATAATTAGTTCAAACTTAAACTATGTATAACCCGCTCCTGATATGGAATTGGTTTAGATAGAGATTGAGGAATTGGAGCTGTCCTTCAAGTAATGGAAAATCAGCCGAGAGTGAAATGAAATGCATTGCGGCGTAATAATAGATCGATGGAAAATTTAACGTATTCACACACGTTAAAAAAACGTTAAAATACACGCAATGGAACTGAATAATGAAATAAAACACAAATACTCTAAAAATGATAAACTATAAGTATTATGATGAAAAGAAAGGAAGTTATATATTATCTCAATCATTACACTTATTACACTTATATTAAAAAGGCGAAAATTTGTGCGTGTGTGAGTGTGTGTGTTTGTTACTTCTTCACGTCTAAACGGCTGGGGCGATTTTAATAAAATTTGATATGGAGTTAGCTGACACCCCGAATTAACACATAGGCTACGTTTTACTGCTGGAAAATATCCCTAATAAACCGCGGTTAACACCGCGGGGCACAGCTAGTTAGGTATATAACTTCCTTGCTCAAAAGTTCGTTTCGCTTGTATATATTTATTGTAATCTTCAGGTAACCTTTAAAAAAGTGTTATCATATCTTTATAATAAAAATTAAATAGGTTAATAGATATTTATATTACCTTTAACGTTTTTCCACTGTGACGGAGGCGAAACGTAGGTAAGGATCTTATATCTGAAAGCAAAAAAAATAAACCAGTTTAGAACTATGCATTTTACAAAGTCATCGCATTTTATAGTATCTGTTAGGATTAAGGTAAGTTTCTCTTCACATAAAATCGGAAGATTGCGTGGCTATTAGGGAAATTGTGAGATACTTTACTAAAAGCAGGAGATTTCCCGGAAATTTGGGAGACAAGGCAACGCTGTTGATGAGATACAGTCCGCTGACATACAGATGACGATAGAGCAATAATTTTCCGTCAAAATGAGCGTCAGCTTGTGATTCACATTAATAATACACCTGAAATTACTTTTTATCCATATTATAGCCTCTGCAGACGAGACTTTTGTCCGCGGCATTTTTTGTCCTCCAAAATAGATTGCTTATAACTGCATCAAGTAACGCACACGACGGTTTAAAAGTACCGCGTACGAAAATTCCCCCGAATAAACGAGGACACCGAGAGACCAGACAGGACAAAAGTACGCGAGTGTTACCGAAAAATAGAACTCATGTGACTAGGCGCAGGAATGCACACAGCGATCATCAGTCCGCGTTGCGCGCTCGATTCGATTAAAACAGATTATTTTCTTTTAAAATGTCTTCTCTTCATCTCAAACTTCATGTTAATTACAAAACAACGTAATCTGAGAATATATACTTTCATAGCGTGCTTCTTCTAATTTTTTTTTTGGGAACAAATGTTCGCGCGTCGTTTGTATAGAGTCCATGATAATTTGTTAGCGGACTTTTCTCCTTTGCGGAGTAAAGTCCTTCATCTGCGCAGGCTATTAATGTTATCATAGATAAAAATTTAATATTGACTTATTTGACAAATTTTTTTGCCACGAAATATTAGATACGTCAAATAGAAGAGCTCATTGTTGCGATATTTGCAATAGGTATTTCAGACTCCTACGGGTAAGCACGGAGGTACGATAATATTATCTTCTATACTGTATACTGTATTCTATCTTCATACAAACGGTCGGAAAGCGTGTCACGCCACTTGATTTCACCCGTTACCCGGTGGGCATCCAGTCGCGAATGCGCCGCAGCGAAGATCAAACGGTTTAAATTGTTTTTTAAGAAAGAATATTTGATTGAATTAAGTAGATACCTACATAATTTAATATGGCATAGAGCAATAGTCGATAATGTGCTGTTTTTGGTTGCTTGAACTCTTCAATAATAAAACTTTTTATACGAATGCGTATTTATTAAACTATTAAATTTAATAATAAAGCTTTAACTAACACTTCCTAATTCATTCACAACATTTTTTTTACATATGAAATATAAATATTTTTTATTTATATATGAGATATGAAAAATAAAATATTTACAATCACAAAACTAGAAAGAAACTCAATTATGTAGATGAAATTAAAATACTGTAGGCGGGCAGCCCTACCACGTGGATACGCCTCGCTCGGCCGTAGGCATTTATTTCAAGGACAGGGCCGAGTCACAATACCGTATAGATAATATTACCGTGACGGGGGAGCTCGATGGCGCAGGTGGTTAGCGCATTCGGCCTGCATCGTGAAAGTAAAGTAACTGTCGCAGTGGTTGGTGATTGGATGGATGACCAAAACCTTATCATATCGAGCTCCTCCGTACTTCGGAGGGTACGTTAAACCGTTGCTTCCAGTTGCATCTGCAGTCATTAGTACACACCAATCCGCACTAGGCCTGCTTGGTGGGTCACGGCCCGGTCTCTCTATTCTATCCATAGGAAAGTTGGGAGATTAATAGGCTGATGATGATGATGACGGACAAGCAAAAAGTCTTTCAGTTACCAACTGCTTAACTGCGCAGCTTCGAAAACAGTAAGTGTTAAGTCTTCGTAACCCTTTTATTATTTTATTGGTATTTAATGTAAGGTTCGATGCTCGATATGATAACACAGAGCGGTTTGTACAAGTATATTATGTGTAATTAGTATTTATGAAAAATCGAGGGTAGGCTTGCAAGGCGGCTCTCAAAGCGCGTCGAAGACGCGACGCACCGAATTAATTGCAAAATCACTATTGAACCGTCTGCAAGTTTTTCTGTTTCTGTCGACAACTTATTTATCATGTGCTTGTGAAAACTAAAGATCAGCGAGTGCAGCAGCAATGACCTGGTGGTCTACCCTTTGTAGCAGTAAGCCATAAGTTATGTTTTGAATTTTCATTCAAAAATTGGTGCGAATGCTATAATAAATATTTAAGCAAAAGATTTATTTAATTTCATTTCATACAATACGGTTGCCTTTTTGCACTCATAAAGTACGTATCGTAAATTCGCCTCAATAAAACGACGTCATCGGAGTAAAACGTTGCCATAATACAGGAAACGTTAAATTTATGACGCATAGCTAGATCATGGTTATATGTTATATATTAATCTAAAATGTGTAGGTGAATGTTTGTGGATATACAATTATTGTTAACTTACGGGTTCTCATTACTTCATGTGTACGTAGTTTGTATAGATTTCTTCCTTATAACTTTTTGAAGTGTTATTTTCGAGAAAAAATGGCCGACATTCGTCTCCAAAGTTCTTTTGTTATATCTATCCAGGATTCTTTTGTTATTTATTTATTCTTTATTGCATGCCACAGATAATACAAAAACAACATTATCATAACCTGTACAAACATGTGACACCCTGCAAGGGCGTTGCAATTTTACTTAAATTATTATTATTATTTAAACAAACAATCAAATATATTATAAAAAAATTCAATTCAATTATTAAACATGCATCTTACCAAAATTAAAATTAAAAAATACATGTATTTTACTATTTAAAAACTATAGATATTAATATACAATTTTCACACTCAGAATTTTTAATATAATATAGAGCTATGTCATGAAATTTAATAGGTTTTTTTTATTACTTCATTAAAACTATAAACAAATATGTTTATCTTGGAAAAATTCTAATATATTATAATATGATTTATTAATAAGATATTCCTTTAGACATTTTTCAAAAATTGTATCTGTTCGGTGCATAACCGAACATTTATATTTTGCTTATTAATTATTTTGCAATACTTAACACCGTCACGGCGCCTGGCCTAATTTAGGTCATTAGCCGCGGTGCAAATATAAATTAGTGTAGATTTCGATGCATAAGCGAACGCACTCATTAACATACATTATTATAGTATTTTAAGAACATTTTGTGAACAAACAAAAAACACGTAATTATTTTCGGTAACAACTTTATTATTTTAACATCCACTAAGCTCAGGCACTAACATATGGTCCTTCGAGCTATACCTCGCGCGCGTAATATCGTGATTTTTGAGGTGAAAGAACAGTGAACATTGGAATACAGTGGTGTGTGAATTTAGTGGACTATCAAGCAACACCAGTAACACTGTAGTTACTGACGTGCCGGTTACGAAAGGATTCGTAGCCCTATCAGCAAGGAAACTTGGCTTGGTGGCCAGGTGATTCCAGCTTTATCATCATTCAAGTAAGGTCGTTTTATTTTTACTCTTTTCATCATGGAAGACTATGTCAACATCATCGAAACTCTAGGTGAGATCATGGGTGCGATGGAAAAATTACTTACCAACTTTAAGAAAGATTCATCTGAGCGGAAGACCCCTACCAATATCAAAAGGCGGTTGGAAACTCTTTACCAATATTGGGCAGATTTTCAGGCAAATCATTCTAAATTAGACGAAATTACTGATAAATCAGCTTATTCGTATTTCACCGAAAATGATTATGAACAAACAAAGAAATATTATTTTGACGCTAAAGCATACATTGAAAGCTTTTCTTCGAAGCCAAGAACAAGTACCCTTAACATAGAACCTAAGGTTGACATTAGATGCTCAACACCAGTAGGCATAAGAGAGAAATACACGCCTGATCCTATTGGAACCTCGTCGAGAACTACGCCGGTTCCGAACAGTAACATAAGCAACATGCTAAGAAAACAAGAAGCGAACTTTAAAGCATTTCAAAGAACTGTAGGGCTCATTGATGTTGAGTCTATTACAGAAAAGTGGGAGTTTGAAGATGCGTTAAGGTCTTTACAAACTCGTTGGTCCTTGGTAGACAGTCTACACTGGGAAATAGTTTATGAAGCGGGCGACGAAAATATAACATATGAGAAAAAATTTGATTATTATGAAAAATTATTTAACAATTTGAAAAAGTCGATTAATACAAAAATGTGGTCAATGGCACATCGCGAGAAATCTACTCCTCAATTAGATATTCCCGTTTTTACTGGTCATTATAACCAGTGGGTATCTTTTAAGGACTTGTTTACAGAAGCTATCCACAACAACCCGTGTTTGTCAAGTGCTCAGAAAATGCAGTTCTTAAAAAGCAAGGTGCGTGGTGAGGCAGAAAGGCTCATTCAACATCTCACCATTAGTTCCGAGAACTACATTGCGGGTTGGAATATTTTAAGCAATCGCTATAACAATAAAAAACTTATTTATACATCTTATATGAACACCCTTTTAGGGCTCCCTAACATGCAACTACAATCAATGAGTCAAATAAAGAAAATGCACGACGTCGCAATAGAAACCTTCAATGCAATAAAAAACCTGGAGGTCGACATTACAACATGGGATCCGATTTTGGTTCATTTACTATCACAAAAATTAGATTCGGAAACTCATGCCGATTACATTGAATCCTTGAAAAACCCAAGAGAGCTACCAGTGTTACAAGAGTTTTTAGATTTTCTCGAAGGAAAATTTACTGCATTAGAATCATCGCGGCGCAAACAAGAAACTAATCAACAGAGATCGAATAATGTAGAAAAGGAGACGCACTCCGTCCGCCAAAAGCCAGTTTTTCAAAATCAGAGATATCATCAAGCTTTAGTTTCAAAAGGACTGCACTCTAATAAATCACCTAACGTAAGCAATTTTCAACATGAAAACACAAAACCGTTGGTGAAATCTCTACATGTTTCATCCTTTATCAAATGCCCGTTATGTAATCAAGATCATGGCATTTATAATTGCAAGAGCTTTTTAG